GCCCGGCCCCGCCCGGCCCGGCCCCCACGCTCTGCGCTCGGGCGGGGCTGCCGCTGCCGCTGGTGACGGACGCGCAGGAAGGGCAGGTATCGGGCCGGGGCGAGGATGGCCGGGGAATGCGGGGCGGCCCCCGAGGGAAGGAGCGGCTCTTGCGGAGCGCGGTGATAGCGGCGGCGGGAGGGAGCGGAGCGGGCCCGGCTCGGCGGGCGCTGCGGGCACAGTCTGCTCCTGCTGGCACTGCTGCCATCCACCGCGGGCACTGCCTGCCATAGCCTGCTGCCATCCCGGGCACTGCCACCGTCCCCGGCGCTGCCCGGCCGGCGCTGGCCTCTGGCGGCCGCTGCTCTGCCCCGGCCGGTGCGGGACTGCGGCGCTCCGGGGCTCGGCTGCGCTGAGCGCGGCCGGGACAGGATGCGGGGAGGCGTTTGAGGGATGGGACGGGATCAAGTGTCAATGGATACGGACATTAATGTGACTGTAAATGCATAAACAGCACTGGAACAGAAGTAAAGGCGGGTCAGGAGAGCTGTTTGTCACCTGTCACATTTGCAGACCATTGTGAACCCCTGGAACCGTGCAGTTCCTTGGTACGGGAATGCAGTTCCTCTGAAGTAAAATAAAGCAATGGATCCTGCTCTGAGTATTTTTAGTAGGCGCTGATGAGACATTTGTTTTGGAAAAAGAAAAAAAATTATAGCACACAAAATTTGCGTATATGCCTATCGGAAGAGCGCATTTTGTGACAGAGAAAGGAGCGCTCAGCTCGCCCGGCACGCAGGGGGTTGTTTGATGCTCGCTCTCCACGAAGCGGGAGCAGGAACACCCACCCCGCGGGGCTGTGACGCCCAGCCCCGGGCAGCGCCGGGAGCTGCGCAGGCTGAGCCTGGGGACGGGGATGAGCGCCTGACACTGCACGGCAGCGCTGGGAGCGCGGCCGGACCCGCAGGTATCTCCTGATACTGGGAATAGTAAATGGAACCATGCTGCTTCCCACTAAGCGAGTGCTGGGGGAGGGGACTGTTTTCAGTTTGGTAGCTGATTATGTTTATCTTCCTGCTTTAAAAATAGGATCACATCAGGAGGATTTTGTTTGTCTCCAGCATCTCCGGGACGTGGGGATGTCTGCGTTGGATATATTGTGTCTTGCAAAGCCAAAAGACTGGAGCCGTTTGAAGATTATGTAACAATAAAGGTGCAGTTTCCCTTTGGAAAGAGGAATAATGGGACCAGGCATTCAGGAATATCCCTTAATATTGCACAGAGAGACACAGCAGAAGGAAAGCCACAGCCACACCAATGAAAACCACAAAGGAATGGTAAAGTAAGGAAATTAATTTCGCTTTTTATAGTTACTGAAATGTCAACATGCTGGGTTTAGTTAATAAGTGCCTGGCTGTCTTATTCCCACTGCCTTCCTCTCCCCTGGTCCCAGTGACAGAAATGATTGTGCAGGATGATCGTGCAGGTCACAAGGTCACAGAGGTGACTGCAGCAGTGCTGGATGCACAGGACTTAGTTTCATTCTTTTATAAGCTCTTGAATTTGTGCAATCATGTGTTTTTAAAAACAAAATCTGACTACACTGACATAAAAACTGAGAACAAGATGTACAGCCTGGCAAATTAACTGAGCTGCAGTAATGCTAGATTAGATAGAAGGGCACAGTTTGATCATTCCTGTTCTGAAATAATATGTTGGAAATCAGTAATGCTTCTTGTTTGTAGAGCAAACACTTTCTTATTTGTGCAGAATATGCAGATTTATTTATTCTGGGTGTTTACACAGAAATGTAGCTGGTTTAATTAAGGAAGCATGTTGTAGTTCTAAGCTCCCCAGATCAGTAATGCCATTCCTTTTGCTTTCGTATGAGCTTTTTCTCTTAATAATATTTTCACAACCCTATTATAATATGAAATAAGGAATTTTCTTATGCCTTCATTATGAAATAGTTTGTATTAATACCAGAAGAGACCTTATGCTCCCTGTTCACTTCCACTCCTTATCTTCAAAGAAGTAATCCTTTAAATTTTGTTGAGAATATGCAAATGAGAGAGACAAGCAAGATTTGGCTTCATATGTGACCTTCATATTGTACTTTATAATTAATTTTGGTAAATTGTGATTGGAGCACCTACTAGGTACTATAAAAATCAGTAGTTAAATATCTGTAATATTTATTATGTCCAAAGAAGCTTTGGGATCCTCTGACAGAGGATTCTGTATAAGGGCTACATTCTATTATTATATCATCTGATAGAATTATTCATTTTTGCATTAATAATATTAAAAATACAGCAGTGAATTTGGAGTATAAAAAATAAAAAGTAGACATAGTGGCATAGTCCTAATGATCTTCAACTTTAAGAATGACTGCAATCAGCCCTTTTTTTAAACTCAGTTGTACTCTTAAGTTTTTATTGTACTTCCACTCTGACACTCATATATGCTGCTATTTATATCTGATATTCTGTTTAATCCTTTGTGGTTGCAGTAATGGAAAAAGCCATCCAAGCACCAAAGGACTCACTAAACCAATTTCTTATGCGAAATCTCCTCCTGGAAGATTAGGCAAAAATGTATCAAGTGCCATTGAAAAGGTAAATAACTCCCTTTTCTAACATAAAAAGGGTACCTACTCTAAGTCAGTTTCTTAATAACATCATAAACTTTCATATCCCTTCAGATTTCCCATAACATTCAAGATGGTCACCAACCAAATGTTTATAAGAAGGGAAGGAACCAGTTGGATGGCAATAATCAGTCAAAAAGGTAATTTTATGTTAAGATTATCTGTTTAATTTATAGTTATTTCAAACTGTTTGACAAAATGCTTGTGATGAAATTGGAGCTGCATTTGACTCCACTGGCTCAGAGTTCAGCATTTATGAGAACAAGAAATTTATCAAAATGGAAACTTGCTATCCTGCTTTAGTGAGTTCTCAGGCAAAACTATAAAGGAGTCCCCCAGAAAGAAGGCAAAACGAATCCTTCCTGCACAGGAGTCCCCCAGAAAGAAGACAAAATGAATCCTTCTTGCACAGGATCCCCCCTGGCACAAAGGGCAGCACACAAGAAAACTTCTGTAGGGCTAAGGATGTCCCAGTGCAGCATTTTTATTGCAGTAAAAAAGAACAGTTGGGAAAGAATCATGAAGAATACATTGCTGAAGCCAGTCCAGGCTCTTCCAAATGGCAAGAAGCATCTGTAGGTGAAATGTTTCTTGATTTTGAATCGGTACAAATTATTAAAGAAGATGCTGAAGATGATAGTGCCAGTGACCTCTCTGACTCAGAAAGGATTCCCATTCCCCCCTCTCCCTGCACACCACCAGAACTCATCCTCAGAGCTGAAGAAATCGACCCAGTTTGTTTGGAACACATCCCTGAAATGGGATTTAAAGAATCTGAATATTACTACCCCGACTTCCTGCCACCCCCTTTCAACTCGTGGGACTTGAAGCAGCTGGCCACCTTTGCCCACGTGGAAGGGAAAGCTGATTTCCACCCCAAGCCCACGGGATCCCTGGAGAAGTACCTGGAGCGCCTGCTGCAGCTGGAGTGGCTGCAGATGCAGACGGTGCAGAGCGAGAGGGGCAGGGCCACCAAAGCCCGGCCCCAGACTGCCCCCGGGCCCAGCCGTGCCCTCAAGAGCCCTGGAAAAGGCAAAGCCTTGCTCAGCCCTGTGCCCCCCAGGCAGGCAATGCCCCAGGAAAGTGTTGCCAGGCTGCCCAGGAGCTGTTTGGGTCACAGGGCAGAGCCGTGCTCTGAGGAGACTCGCCAGGCGCGCTCCCATCCAGGTCACCTGAAGGCTCCTGAGAGAATGGGGTGTGCAGCATCTTCTCAGAGGCAAACTGGTGATGTAAGGAGCGAACTGAGAAAGAAACCAGCTGCAAAGCAGCAGCTTCTCAGTCTGCAGCCCCCCGAGAGCAGCTCTAAAATCCAAAGTGTTGGTAACATCAGACCCCCTAAGCAAACCCCAGCATTTCACGGTGCAGCTGCTCCCATCAAAGGCTTAAAAACATACGTGTGTACAAATCCAAAGAAAAATGGCAATGCCAGCAATTATGTTCCTCCTAAAAAACCAACAGTGGACAGGAAAATAAAAACAAATGGCACAAAGCAAACACCACGCAAATTTCAGTGAGGGAAAACTCATTAGTGAATGTTGATGCTCCTTGACTGCTAGAAAGCATCTGGCCACTGCAGAAGAATATTTTTTTTCTTCATAGGAAGATCTGAGAAAAATGTTCCTGGCACGTGGTTCTGAGTCAGCACTGTTCATTTCTATAGATTTGATCTTAAGCCAGCAGGAAATGTTTTCTCTGAAGGCAAATGTCTTCCATTGGTCTTTCCTCAAAAATATTTATAATTGCTCAATGAAGATAACAATAGCACAGTGTGACATTTAGAGAAGTGTAGAACATCCTGTCTGCACTAACTGAGTGTTCCTTGTACTTACCCTGCTGGGTGTGAGGGAATAGGGTCCATGCTCTTTCTCCTTGCCCAGATGTGCTTTTTGTAAGACAGGTTTGATTTTGGTGTTGTTATAAAATAATAAGCCTGTTATCTATGCAAAGTCAACTCTAATTCTTCATAGAAGATGATGAATTGGATTTTTTGGATGAAATAGATATTATTTTTTTGAGAAGAAGAAGAAGAATGGAAATAATGTTTTGAAATATTTTAATGCAGAAAGAATTCTTTTTAAGACAAAGTGTTAGGGACCAGACAGCTTCAGTAATGACAGATTAAGAAAATGGAATGTGTATTTTTATACCCTGGAACCTTCACTGTGTTTACAGACAGCTTTCCTGAAAGTTCATTTTGTAGGCCATGATGCTTTTTTTTCATTTAGGGGAAATGACCAGATTTCAAATTGCACATGCATGTATTTGAGTCGTGCAAACTAAGGTTTTTAGCAAAGACTGTATGGCCTAGTTTTCAGAACTGGTAGCCTCTCAAAACATAGAAACCAGATTCTTAAGAGAAGAATAATTTAAAGGGTGTTGAAAGTTCAAGTAAAGATATATTTGGATACAGAAGATACCTATTTTTAGTCATTTGAGATGACTCTTATTTGTCCTGTGGTCCAGTCTAGCTTGGCTTCTTAAGGTTTAGGAAGGTGAGATGAGGAAGTGTCCTGCAGTAGAAAATTGTACAACCAGGATTGGGTCCTCTCCTTGGGCCTTCTGTCTTCTCTTGTGTCTGTGAGATACAGGAGAAAGGAAAGTTCTAAGAATATTCAAATATCACTTGATCTATTACAATTTCAAATCAATCACGGCAGCTGGGGACAGGATCTTGTTAAGATGAAATTCTAAATAATGTTTGTCACTTCCACTTTAAAATCCTGGTCAGCATATTTTCCTCCTCAGCCACCAGTCCCAGTCTTCATCAGAAGTGAGCTGAGGTCTGATGGACCAGATTCTACAAGAGGACCCTTCACATTGTGGTAGAAAATGAAAAAGTAGCAAATACTAAAGAGTACATTATGTATATAGCTAAATTGCACTTCTCTTGGTGAGCTCATCTTGGTTTTAAGATGCTTAGCTGTTTCTTTCATTGTGCCTACCAGATCTTCAGCTTTGTAAAATTTCAAAGCATGAATTTATATGTACTTTGAAAAGTGAGAATATTAAGAAATGTAGTAATAAAGTAGAGTATTTTACAGTACATAAAAACATTGCTCAGGAATAGTCTAAGAAATATTTTTAGTGGTTTTTTCCTAGTCTACTGGAGACCAAATGTGAAAATTTGAGTTGGTAAAGGAAATGAATGTAATAGACAGTATTACATGTCCAGAATCAGTATTTGTACAGTTACACTTAATATGAATTGTAGTTGCATGTACATTCAGCTCTATGCAATTCAAGTGAAACTGAATCTGAGATGCTCAAAGACCAGAGAAGGTGGCTGTGTCAGAGGTGTGGTGGCACTCAGGATGGGACTGAACACCAGCAGCTGCAGAGGACCAGCACATCCCAGTGTTGCTGTTTCACCCTTTTGTTTCGGTCCAGCCTCATGTATTTCAGCTTTTTTAGCTGAAATGTTCCTGCACCCAGTGCTAGTATTTTCAGCTCTGGCCAAATTCTGCGAGCCTGCCTTAGCCAAGTTTTCCTGATTCACATGAGCAGTAGTGAAAAATAGGAGAGCTGCTTTGCCAATAATCAGGATTTTAATGCACTATTCTAGTTCACTGTTACAAGCACCAAACCTGAGGTGAGCAGGATCCAGGCAATAATCAGAATAGCAGTTTTTAAAAAATAAATTCTGATAGATGCAGTAAATAATTTAGCATGTTGTTATAGCATTGAATATTGCTGGATGCTAAATTTTCTAAATTGAAGCTTTCCTGGGTTGTAAGGAGGGCATGTAGATACTGGCACATTTTGCATGATCATTTCTTTAAGAATAAATAAACCCCATTTCAACCAGTTGTGACCAGAGCAAAGGTGATTGGCACTGGGAAAAGTCTTTTGTCACAGAGGTAGGAAAGTTTTAGTGTCGTGTTTGTCATCTCATGGACACCAGTCTGTTGCTGGAGACTAAAAAGGGAAGCAGGTGGAGGTGGTGATGGCACTTTAAAGAAGTCTGAAAACATGTTTATCACTGAGCTCCATCTGGGATCTGGCCAAGTAGGTTTGTCTCGTGATAATCACACCAGTCTAATTTCTGTCATTGATTTGACACTTCTGACATGCTTGTCTTTGTTCACACACAGAAATGATGTGTTTGCCTCAACAAACAGCTCTTGGCTGAGCAGACCTGCAAGGGCTGGGTTTTATCCTGTTTCCATTTTATCTTTACCATGTTCTTGGCCTACAGATGAAAAGAGCTCCTTTTCTGAAGAGGACTGTGGTTTATATTTCTTTCATTTTGTATTGCTGGATATTGTCTTTAGAAGCACTTCTGAACACAGCAGAAAAATTTATTCCATCAAACATTCAGTTTAAAATTAATTTCTTAAAATACTTCCACAGCACCGTGTTTGTGTGGCTATTAGCCTTTTTTTTTTACAAGGTTTAGCAATATGATCATATGGATCTAAGCCTAGCACTGGTGATGCTTCTTGAAGAACAGCTTACTGTGATGTGAGATATTTAAACAGAGTGATTTATTTTTTTGCTAGAGAATGTAAAGATTTATTGTTCTGAAGTATTACCTACAGAACAAATATGCTCAGGTTGTATTTCAAATAAACAGCCAGACTCTGCTTCAAGTTGCATGAGTATAAACTTTGAACAACTCAGTTATTTTCAGTGAAATGACCCTGTTAGAAGATGTGAAGAAACAGAATTTCACTCTAATATGTATAAACTGTTTTCCTTTAAAATTTAAATATTTAATATTTAAAGCAATATTGTTTTTCTCTTGCCATGTTCTTTTTTCTCCATTGCTTGCATCTCATGCTGAGGGCAGTAATTTTCCCACCTCGTTTTCAGTTGGATACAGCAGGATAATGCTTCAGGGAGGGATGTGCTGATTCCATTGGGCTAAGCTGTCCTGTTTGACTCCAGACTCCGAGATCTGCCCTCATCCTGTCACTGTTCGTGTCCTTTCTGTGTTTCATTCATTGTTTCAGGTAACTTTGACCTTGTATTTGCTATTTAAAGGATCTTGTTAGAATTCCGAGAGAATTTTGACAGTTTTTTCAGCCAGTATGTGCTTTTTTGGAGCTGATACATAAAATTTCTACAGTATGAAATTGCCTAGAATGCACTATTTTTTGCCTTATTTTAAAGGTAATGAGCCTTTGTTGCTCCCATTGCATTAGTGGTTTTTCATCTGAAAAATACACAGACCACGCTGGAAGGACTGAACTTGATTAACTGAGGATTTGCAGACCAGCTTTTGATGTTGGTATTCATGTATTCTTATTTATTTGAACTTTTTGTGGATATTTTTGCTAGTAATTCCTTGAGAAAGTGATCTTGTCATTCAAAGGTCCCGTATATTTGCTACAATAAAAGTGAGATACTGCCCTGTTTGTTGCTGAGTTGTATTTTTTTCTCAAGATGGCACCACTGAATTTTCTTGGAGAGAATTCCAGTATTGCAGTGTTGGGTGGAGGGGGTGGCTCAGCACATCCCGGCTCCTGCTGGCCAAGGGAAGCCAAAAAAATACGGAATTTTGCTTCATCTTCGGGCAATTCCATCCGGGACCCAGGGTGCATGGAATCCTGGACTGGATTCCAGCTGGAGTCTGGAATGGATTCTGCAAAAGGGAAAACGCAGACTGGATTCCAGCTGGAGGCTGGAATGGATTCTGCAAAGGGGAAAATCCAGACTGGATTCCAGCTGGAGTCTGGAATGGACTCTGCAAAAGGGAAAATCCAGACTGGATTCCGGCTGGAGTCTGGAACGGACTCAGCAAAGGGAAAACCCGGACTGGATTCTGGCCAGAGTCCAGAATGGACATGGCAAATGGGAAATCCCAGACCGGATTCTGGCCAGAGTTTGGAATGGACTCAGCGAGGGGAAAACCCGGACTGGATTATGGCCGAAGTCTGATATGGCATCAGCAAAAGCAAAAACATGAACTGGATTCCAGTTGGAGCCTGGAAGGGACTCAGCAAAGGGAAAACCTGGACTGGATTTCAGCTGGAGTCCAGAATGGAGTTGGCAAAAGTGAAAACCTGAACCGGATTAGGGCTGGAGTCCGGAATAGAGTTGGCAAACTGGACCAGGTTTTGGGTAAAACAAGCTGAATGTGCAGGGTGTCACAAGGCCTGTCAGACTGTGATATTCAACATCAGCTGAGTTGGGTGAGCTCACCTCACTTGTGTTCCAGGTAGCAGGCATGACTGCCAAAACAAAGGTCATAACTGCTAATTAACTGCTAATAAACTGCTAAAAGGGCATATCTGCTAATTAAACTGCTTTTGTCTGGGGTTTTCAGCTGAAGGGCAGTCAGAGCTTTTGTGCTGACTTGCATTGTTTCTTCCCTTCTTTAGAAAGTGTATTCCTAAAGCACACTGGAAGATTATGGGGACACCTTGCAGATACACTGAGGAAGGAGAGTTAAAGGCCAGAAACTCCCCCTGCTCCATCTCCACTGGCAGCGAGGACTTGCCTGATGACTTTTTTAACAATCTGGGACCAGTGCTTTCTGCACTGGAAGAGGTCTGTCAGAAGTGACCTCCATCACTCAGTTAATGTCAGAAGGCTGTGACTATGGTGCTGCAAAGGCTTTTGGCAGGAGCGGTGACAATTTCAGAAAAAAAGAACTATCAGTGCTTGAAGGGATTGCAGTGTTTGCAGCGTGAGCACCTGGCCTTTCATTCTTCCTCCCTGCACTGTTTCATGTGGGCAGCCAAGATCCTGGCGTGTCTCCAGGTTTCACTGTGCAGAGGTGATGGGGGGATTTTGACACTGACACAAATAGAATATCTGATATTAAGGATCCTCAATTCATTATGCAAAAGAAAAAAAACCCTAGATCAAACTAGGCTTGAAATTCCAGGCTGAGTTCCATATGGAAATAAGTCAGTTTTGAAGAGAGAAGGCAGTTACCTGCTAGGCCAGTGTATAGTCCTTTCTCCAATGAGTGGCCTCTTTAAATCCAAAATTAAGTTTAGTACAATGCATATTTTATATCTTTTATATATGACAATGAAACATTGAAGAGAAAGTTCACTTCTCTGGGTTCACACACTTGGGACAGCTCTACACTGTTACAATCTGCTATGGAAAACTTGGCTTTCACTATTATAAATTTGCTTTGCAAATTATTATAAATTGTAACTGCTTTTGTAGATATAGTGCAAATTGTAATTGCTTTTGTGAACAGTGTAACTAAAATTGTGCATGAAGCAAGGCTATCACAGGAAGTAAGCGGGCTTGCAAAAGATGGATCACAAGACATGACTGCTCTTGCAAAAGGTATTGATGCCTCAAGTTTTAGTTTTTATATTTTCAGATTCTGCGCTGCTTTAGTGTGTAGTTCTGGGCTTCACATTAGGGGATGGTGATCTCTCTTCACAGAGTAGGGAGACAAAACAATTCCTTCTCTAGCTGGGGACCAAGGACAAATGATCCAAATCTCAGCCCAAGAGTACAAACACCGTGGCCTGAAGAGAGAAAAACAAGCAGGATGGGAGTGCATGGGGTAAAACTGGAGTTGGACAATTAATTCCAATATGCAAATGGAGCAGAACTTATAAAAGTGAGAGACCCTGTGAGCGATCGTGCATTTTGGGACCATTTTCATTCATCTTGGGTGCAGCCCTGGCTGGGCTCTTGTGCTGCCCAAGGTGGATCCATGGAGGAGATCCTTTTAATAAATCCCTACTTTATTCTTTAACTCTGTCTAGTCTCTGCTCTAGGTCAGCCTTCACAAGGCATAAATCCACGACAGCCCAGGCAGAGAACAAAATGCCATAAAAGCAGGAAACCAAGTCTGAAATGGCATCAGAAGACCACCCTGGAGTGCCTCCCTGCTGGACCCTCCCAGACTGTGCCTGTGGACTTAGGCAATGCTGTGGCAACTGGAGGCAAATCTGTGGTAAACGGGCTCTGGAAAAGTGCTGTCATTTGGGGAAGTAATGCAATCCAACAGTATGAGGGACTGCTGGCTAAAGAATTGGGGGTGCCTCTGGCTGTTGCCATGCTCCCAGAACTGTTACTTTTGCTTTATTGATCTGTTCCTTATTAGCCCTTATTAAACTCTTGAAATTTTGGGGATTGGGCTTCATTTCTCACATGCACCATCCCTCCTTTAGCATGAAAGAGGCACTTTTAGTGCTCGTGTGAGTGCTGGCATCTGCTGGCTGTTGGTATCATGGCACTGCTGTAAATAATACCCTAAATGCTAAGGAGTTGTTGTCAGACAAGGTTATTCCTTTCAATGAGAGAACTTCTTGCTCTAAATTAGACACAAGTGCCTCTGAGGGGGAAACTCGTGGGTTTCCTCAAGCCCTACTGATAAAACAGATGAAATGATAAAAAAGGGATGGTATCAAATTTCCCTATCAGGAAACCACAGATGTGTTGCTTTTAAATTTTGAGATTTGGACATGTCTGACTGTGTGTGACTGACCTCTGCTCATGAAGGCTGATGGTCTTACAATTCAGAAATGAGGGAAGAACAGCTCAGGAGATTGTGTTCTGCCATTAGGTAAATTATACATGCAGGAAGTGTTGAAATTAGTTACAAATCTTTCTCCTGTTCTCTTACAATTTTGTGCTGAAAGAAAAATGCTTTGCCTAAGGCAAGCACTAAGTCTGGGAGCTAAGACACTGTTTTTATGTTTCAAAGTTTACTCAAACAATAAATTATGCTTTCGCTCAGATATTATTAACTAATAATTCAAGGCTGGGAACTTCAGTCAAGTGTGATAAAAGAATTTGGCTGAGTGGCAGGCAGCCACGTTCTCCTAAATGCCAGCAGCAAGATCTGTTTACACAATAAATCACTCCTGTGATAAACTGTCCTTAACTTACAACTCCAGATGGAAGACTTCAAGTCAGGCCAGTGATTTAGCAGCGCTGCTAATACCTGAGGTGACATTTTTATTGCAGATGATAATAACCATATTGGTAAGATTAGAGTTATGCTGTGCTTTGCTGTTTCTTCTGAAAATTAGGCAAGGCTGAAAATAATTATGGAAGTGTTCTGTGTGTTCATTGCTGATGTAAACTCTTGTTGGGTTTGGAGCACACTGTGCCTGCAGTCACCCAAACGAGAGATGTGATCAGACCCATGGTTGCTAATGTTGGCAAAGTTCTCTCTTGCATGGGACAAAAACCTGTTTCAATGAAACCCTATTTCTTGGGAAATGAGAATGTTCCCTGGAGGTTCTCACAATTGCACAGCCTGTGCCCACACAGGTGGCAACATTCATCATTTCAGCTTCTTCAGGGATTTGAAGAGTTGCACACACTAAGGTGACTCAGCTTCCCAGCACCATTGTGAGATAAAGATGCAAAGTTTACACTTTAAAAGCAGAAATTTAGGCTGAAGGAGCTGCTCAGTTGAGCACAGTCACACAGAGCTCTGGCAAACTAAGGAGTGGCACTTTTCAATGGTGCTGCACAAGTATCTTGCCTTTCACCAACAATGTTGACCTTTGTAGCAGCTTTTTGCCCATTCCTTTTGGGTAGACATGAGGGAGGTGTGCTCTGCTGTGGTCACATCAAATCAGTACAAAATCTCTGGGAACAAACAGCGATGGAAACAGCAAATAATTAAAACCTTCACTTTACTGCTAAGGGACAGAGGCACAGCAATTCTAAGTCAGCTCCTGTAATTAAAAAGAGACCTGTAGAATGGATCTAGATGTTCAAAATTCCCTTTTGTCACTATAATAACTGAAGTATCATTATATTCATAATCCCCACCAAGCCCTGTCATTTATGCAACTACCTGGCCAAAAATATTCCTCTTTTTTTCTCCCTAAGCATTTGCAGTCAGTGATTTGGTGATGTGACACTTGAACTCCTGGTAATGATCACTGAATACTTTTATGTAGGAATGACAAAACATGGTACAAACACCCAAATAACCACTCAAACTGCTGAAAGATGGTGTGAATCCTCTTGCCAACACAGGGACAGGAAATCTGTCACACATCAAGTGGGGGAATCTGGAACACAGCAAACTCCAGCACTGAGTCTGGCTTGTAGGTATGTGTGGCAGCTCCATATGACAATTCTTTCTCCATCTGTGCATTAGGTTTGAGTTGACATTTTTTCCCAAAAGGGAGTGAAGGAAACCTGAATTAGATTATTAATCTCCTATTGTTTAAAAAGCCAGAAACAACTTCTTGAGACACCAGTAAGTTTTTAGAGGAGTTTGGCAGAAGGGAGGCCCAGGCTGATGAGGAACAGTCACTAACAAATTATTACAATCAAAAAGGTTTATTTAAAGGCTTTAATGAGGAGCAATGGTTACTAAGAAGTGAAAATGAGGCACAACCAGCACTTTTCTCCCCTACATCACACTTTTAAGGCACTATTGCAGGCTCAGTGAACGGCTCTCAAC